AGGTTAAACATGAAGGATAGAACAATAAATTTTAGCACATCTAACCAGAGTGCCAGAAACACTATATAGAACAGAATTAAGGTAGCATTCAAAGACATATCGGTTGGTACATTTCTGTAACGGATTAAACATGAATCCACAGAAGATAGACAGAACGATTCACATATCAAATAGCAGACGACTCCTGAACAGAAATAATGTAAATCAACAGACAATGGAATACCAGCTTCTGAGTGGTCAAAGAAATGAAACTGTCAACCTAGAGTTAGAGACTAAGCAAAGCTATCTTTTAAGATTTAGGACAAAATACGTCTTCAGATCTAAGAAGTTCATGACTAACAATCCTTCACAAAACAACTTCCGAAGATATTCATCAGGAAAAGAGAAAATGACCCCCAAAGGAAACAATGAGATGGAAGAAGAAAAATAACAACAACAATAATAATAATAACATCTTTAAAATCATGTGTCTAATTCTACAGACCTGGGTTTGAAAAAAAAAAAAAAAGACAACGTAATAATAGCATGTAGGTCAGAAGTGAAGTGACAGACATTAAATACATTCTTCTCCCAATGTGTTGCTCCGAATGCCCACTCTAGAGACCACTGATGTGGTGCATACATCCACCACTGTTCAGCTACAACAAACAGCAATATTAGCTGCAAGCATTTCAGAAGTCTTGTTACAACAATGAGACAAGCCATAAAGGATTTGTAAGTTTGATATGAAGGACAAGTCCAGGGCACTCTAGACAGGAAACAGTAAAGGTTCAGAAGTAGTGCTAAGGATGGTATACCCTGTTCTTCCTCTAATAAAGTATCTTATATCATTTCATAAGCTCTTCTAAAATCTTCTTTTTTCTTTTTTTTCTTTTTTTTAACAGGGTCTCACTCTGTCACCAGGGCTGGAGTACAGTGGTATGATCTTGGCTCACTGAAGCCTTGACCTCCTGGGCTCAAGCAACCCTCCCACCTCAGCCTCCATAGTAGCTGTGATTGACTACAGGCACATACCACCATGCCCAACAAATTTTTCTATTTTTAGTGGAGACAAGGTTTCTCCATGTTGCCCACGCTGGTCTCGAATTCCTGGGTTCAAGCAATCCTCCCACCTCAGCCCCACAAAGTGCTGGGATTAGAGGCATGAGCCACTCTTCTAAAATCTTTAAGACACAAACAAAACAAAAGAAAACAAACAACAACAACAACAAAAAAACACTTTCTAGAAGTAATAGCATGAGTAGAGCAATAGTGGAACATGACAGAGATTCATTATTAACATTTAGGTCAGTAAATTTTCTCTCTGAAGGCTTCATTCAGTCTCTCAGGTTGTGATATGTAATGTCTACCCTCACCAACGTCACTAACATATTTTGATGATAAATGAAAAAATTCAAAGGGGGTGTTACAGCCCTGATTTCCTATACATTATTACTAGTCACTGTGCTGGGCACTAGCAATACAGACTAAGGGACACAAAGTCAGGCAATTAGAATGCTATACGATAGGTACTGTGACGTGTGAAGGATGCACAGGACACTGAGCAAATCCAAGGGTAGTGGTGAAGGTATGCTTTCCTCTCGCTTCTTCCCGCCATTAACAATGATTCTCACAGGACAAACTACAGATGGCAACTGATCACAGTAGGTAGTCATTACAGTCACCACCACGAATTTCAGTATGTTACAAGATTCAACATCAAGAGTCTTTCATTATTAAAGACTTTTTAATCAAACTGAATTCAATTTTAAAACATCCCAAGTAGTCAAAAAAGTTTTCTTAATACCAATCAAAATTTCATCACAGAAAGTTAGGCTGAGCACTTTGACCCATTAAAAACTAGCATAATCAGAGTTTTTCCAAAATACCAAAAATGTTTTTCCTGTTTCATTAAAAAACATGTAAGAGTAATGGTAATATATTATCTATATCCATGGTGGAATTATCCAAATAAAATCTAACTAAAGATAAAAAAGAAATATTTTTTATTCTTTTTCTGGACTTACTGTTTATAATCTAAAATCAAACACATTTTGTATAGATCCTATTATCAGCAACATGTACTTTTCTACTTTATTACAAAGTGTTTATTGCCTTAAAAGTTAATCATTGGTTGTCCTGTTGTATTTAGCCCATTGAGGCCTATTAACAAGGCATACACAATCATCTAAGAAAATACTCCTGAAAAAGTACACACAGACTGTTCTCAGAGAAAAGCAATTCTTTCTCATTTTACTATATATAGTAGTAGTATATAAGAGATCAGTGCTCTAATATTCCCTTTTGGGGTTTTTAATTTATCCTGAATATTCGTGACACTGAGAGTGATATATATTCCCAAGGAAACAAAATCCAAGTATGTTTTTTACATTAACTGCAAATGACAACGAAATACCAAGATGGTGTTTTAAATTACTGTATTTGTTGATTTTAATTTCTAAGGATAATAAAATGTTTTTAGTTAGCATCCTTGATAATATACCAAAAACCCTTAGAACTCTTTAATAGTCATGAATATAAAAGTTTCATAACTATTTTTTAAAATATGTCATGTAATTGAAAATGACTACAAATAAACATACATTTTGGCTGCCATACTGGCATTAATGTATCAGCTAACAAGCAGGTTTGTTACTGTATTTCATCAATGAGAAGTAAAAATGGATGATGCCATTTACTACCAACTAGAGATTAGAGAGTCACTGGTGTTTTAATAGCCATCAGTGGTGGCCTCACTGATAAACACCAATCACACCTATAAACCAATTTAGCCCCATTTACACAACATCTTCTACGATACATTATTTGTTTGGGATTCTATCTCTTCTGTAAGCTCCTTGCAGGGAGAAACCTTATCTTAAATACTACTATATTCTCTTCCCAACGCTTTACCTCAAAAATGAACATGCTGGGTGCATACTTGTTAATTGACAGCTGTGGTATAATAGATATTTGCCACAGCAATTAGGAGAAAATAAAGATGTGGGTAAAGTAAGCTAAATGGAGACATCATTATGTACAATACGGTAAGGCACAAGACTGTAAAGCGACTTTGAAATAACATGTCCAGAAACAGCAAATCAGCTTACACAGCATAATCATTTTCAGAAGGTACTCACAACAAAATTTATCATACTACTATTGCTTAGCTTTAAAATCCTTTTTTTGTATGTTCTTACATGAGAAGCTGCATTTTGTACTATTGCTTCATGCATATTCCAATAATTATATCTCATGTCTTTATAAAATACCTTATTCATACAAGAGAAGAGCTATACTATTCAAAATCTAAAAGAAAATAAAAACAATGTATTTTTCTACTCCTCCTGGGTTAACACATACAGTGATTTGCTAATAAAAACAAAGGTTATCATCTGTCTTACTTTTCATTCACACTCCTGAATGACACGCATTTTTTTAGAGTTCCTACTAGAAAAATTCTGTGCCAACTTGGCTTTAAAACCAACTTAAACCAAAATATCCATCTTTTGCTCTGACCTTGTTCATTCTCTCAATCAAAATTATGTATCAATTGTATTTTCTAAAATAGTTATGATGCAAATGAAGTTCTAATTTATGTGTAATCAGTGTAGGCAGCAGCCTTACACTATCTTTCCCATTTTAAATGCACGGCGCTAGAGGACAAAAGCATACTCTGAAACATCTTCACAGGTCCTCTAACAATGGTCTCTTGCTAGAAATTATTCTATCTTTGTATAATGATATTAAATCTCTATGCTTCCCTCCTAAGATGAAATCATCTGTTTATACCCCCTCCAACAACTCAGAAGTGAGCCTGTATTCATTCTCTCATGCCTTTTGTCTAAGAACACCAAAGCACTTCATTATTTTATTTTACCAACCCCATGAAATCCGTGGTACATCAAAAGCTGGGGGGCTGATGAGATAACTAGACAGAGCTCTGGACAGCTGACCAAACTTAGTACCCATCTAGGTCCTTAAATCAGTCAGAAAATCAGCCAAGACCTATTTACAGGTCTCGAGTGATTTAAACAAAAACAAGAAATCCTTCCCACAAAGGAACTTGTATGTGCGCACACACGCACATACACACAGACACACGCGCGCGCGCGCACACACACAACTGTACTTTTCAGAGGGTGGAAATACAACGGGTCTTGTTCTTTTCGTTTTTCAAGAGTTTACACGCCAGGGACATCTTGATAACAACTCCTGAGGGCAAGCTGATCAAAGACACAGAAATCCTTCCTTCAAAGATATGCACCTTGTGACATTCCGAGGAGGAGGAGAGATATTTAAAGTAAAACCTGCCCTGAATCGTTATCACTGACTTAAGGAAGAGATTAACAAGCCCTTGGCTTCATGTGGCTTTTTTACATTTTGCTGTAACCCCAGGGCCACAGATGCTGTCGGTGAAATTCTCCTACTCATCTCTGCTAAGAGTGTCACAGCAGTATAAAGTGACACACACAAACACGCACACCTCTCCACTTCCATCCCCATCCTTCTCCCTTTGGTGCCGATGACCCAAAATGTGGACACAATGTGACAAAAAGCAAAGTCATGGGGCAATGCGGGGGGAGGAGGGGAGGGTGCAAAGGATTGAAAGATGCAGAAAAGCAAGTGTGAGAGGTAGCTGGCTCCGCTGCCATCGTAAAGCACACGTTCATTCGGGTGGGGGCACAGAATGCAGAGCGGAAAGAAAGCGATCCTGACTGCCCGCTCCGCCGTCCCACTCTGCCTCTCTGCCCTCCATCACCCCCTGCGCTCCCGGAGGACCACCTCCGAGCCAGGGGGCGCCACTCACGGTTCCCCACCCTCAGCCCTGGAGGGGAAAGCAGCGAAATGGGGTTGGAATGAATAGGGCTGAGCAGTGGGTGAGGGTCGTGCCGGGTTCCAGAGGGAGACCCTGCCGCGGGAGGCCGCGCGGAAGCACGGGAGCGGCCCGGGAGCGGGGGAAGTGGGCACCAGAAGAGGGTCTCCCCCCGCCGCTCCCGAGGGAGGCTCCGCTTACTCACGTTTTCCGTGTCCCGCTCGTTCACCGTCGGCAATGGCGTCCGGGCCGACATTTTGTGCGGGCAGCGGGGTCTGGCCGGGGTCTCGCCGGCCGGGCTGGGGTGCGGGCCCCGGGGGCGACAGGAAAGGGGTGCGGACGCGAGCACAAGGCCGCGGGCGGTGCAACAAGCGGCCCCGGCGCGGGAGAGAGGGAAGGGAACGCGGAGGAGGAGGAGGGGGAGCCGCTTCCCGCGGCGGCGCCGCCGGGGGACGCGGGCAGTGACGAGGGCGGGCTCCGGGCGGGCGAGGCGGTTGCCGGGCGCCGGCGGGGAGGCGAGGATGGCAGGACGCGGCGCCGAGGGGTGGGAGGCGGGGAAGGGGAGCCGGGAGGCAGCGGCGAGCCCCGCTAGGCTGTCCGGGCCATGGGTGAAGGTGAACCCGGTGCCTCAAATCACTGCCCGGCTCGTCCCAGCGAGCGCGCCTCGGCGTCGGGAACCGCGGCCCTGACAGCGTCGCCCGCGCCGCGCCCCGCTCCCCGCCTCAGGTGTGCGGCGCCGCCCGGCCCGGCCACATCCACGCGCGCGGGACCCAGCGGCGGCGGCGACCTAGCCCCGGGCGCGAAGGTCTCGGCTCGGTCCGCGCGGCCACCGCCACCGCCACCGCCACCGCCACCGCCGCCGCCGCGCCTCACTCAAGAGGAGCGGCCCGAGCCGGCTGCGCGCGGAGCGGCGGGCGCGGCACGCAGCGCCCAGAGGCACTTGGCGGCCGCCGCCGGGTGGGCGGGCGCCAGCCGAGGGGGCCTCTCCATTCATTCCCTCATTAGGGATGCGGGGCCGCCTCCGCCTCCTCCTCCGCCTCCTCCTCCTCCTCCTCCCGCGCTCTCCGGCCGGCTTGTCCTGTGTTTATTTTTGTTTCGTGCCCCACCCGCAGAGTTTACGGTCGTCTACGAGCCTCTGCTGCTTTTATTTGTATTCGTGTTTGGTTTTTGCCGGGCTGAGGCGACACAGAGCTGGAGTGATGAAGTGGCTTTTTGTTGTTGTTGCTTCCATCGGAGCTCTGGGTTGCATCCCACGCTGGATCCCACCCCCCTTCGCTCCGACCTCGGGGCTTTGACCCTTCTTAAATCCTACTCCTCCTCCCCCGTTTCCGCGCTTTCTCAGTACCAGTCCCCGCCCGAGCCTTCTGTCTGCCACCTTCTCTAGGGAGCCGTTGGGTGCAGGGTCACCCTCAGACTTTGGCAAAGAGCACAAAAGCCCCTAGGAGCGCCCGCAGCCCAGGGGGGCGGCTGGAGACTCGGCGCAAGTGGGTCTCAGGCACCGACGGGGCGGCTTCTTCAGGAATGGGGCGGGAGGAAGACGTCTCGCTCTGGGGGGGCCCCGCAGCACCCCTGGAGTGGGTGAGACCCGCGAGGCACAACATCTACACTGGCTGATCGTCACTTCCTGGGACACAAGGAAGTGTCACTTAGAGGAGCCTGTTTAGGAGGGTGGAGAGCTGTGTCTGATTTGGGCCCTGTCCTCCCTCTTCCAGGTGGCTTCCTCACGCTTCCACCCACCTGCCTGCTGACATCCTGCGGGCACCGCGTCGCTAGTGCATTGTCCGGGACCCATTCGCCTTTTATAAGCAAGGCTCCTTTTTTCCCTATGTCTTTGAGAGCTTACATTTTGCGCATTCAGCCTCTAGGACGACACGCTTATCATTTCTCTGTTCTTCTTCACAACATTTCTTTTTCACTTTCTTTCATGGATGGGCAGGAAGACAAAAGGAGTGATAGATAGGAGCAGATAATTCATGTTTTGAGCTACTTCAATAAGCCTCCAATGAAATTCTTATGATGGTGGGAAATTTCTCATCTCTCCTGAATTTCCTCCATTTGAAGGAAGAATCCCTGCACCAGACGGTTTTTATCCTGACTCATTAAAGGATGTTTCTGAAAAGTTAACACTTGACCCTTAAAGTATGCATCCAAAGACCTAAAAATAGCAAACACAAAAATCCTTTGAGGAAAGAGAACATTCTCACCCAGTCAATATTCACTTCTAGAACACCATCTGTGTACGTATTTCTTTAGCATTTTCTCTCGTAACCTCCCAATTTCACAAAGCAAATGAAGATCACAAGATCCCTTTGGTGGTCCTCACCACTTCTCAAACAAAATGCAGGCGGTGGAACTGCAGCGATGCCCCCTGAACTATGATGTGTTACCGGGAATGTCAAGCATTCACATTCCCTCCGCAGAAAATCCTGAATCGCCAAGATGTATTGAAGTTGCAAGGGCTTAATCTTGTATTTTTCTGCTTAACTATTGCCACGACTGCGTGTAGGGGCTGCCACGACAGTGTCAACAGCACCATTGACTGCTGCAGCCACGCGAGAGTACCCAGTGTTGCAACAGTACCTGAGTTAACATAGCAATAAACAAGTAAATGTGAAAAGGTGTTCAGTCCCATTGGAATATGAATCATTCCTTCAGCTGGTAGTTTGGATTCTGCTCTTCAAAGTATACTCACATATCATTCTTTTCTTTTCTTTTTTTTTTTTTTTGAGACGGAGTTTCACTCTTGTTACCCAGGCTGGAGTGCAATGGCGCGATCTCGGCTCACCGCAACCTCCGCCTCCTGGGTTCAGGCAATTCTCCTGCCTCAGCCTCCTGAGTAGCTGGGATTACAGGCACGCGCCACCGTGCCCAGCTAATATTTTGTATTTTTAGTAGAGACGGGGTTTCACCATGTTGACCAGGATGGTCTCGATCTCTTGACCTCGTGATCCACCCGCCACGGCTTCCCAAAGTGCTGGGATGACAGGTCACCTATCATTCTTATCTTTATTATCGTGGTGACCCTGACAGGCGTATTTATTTCCATTTTACAAAATTCCACTAAATTAACTTGTTCAAAATCACAGATGCACCAGGTTAATAAGATACAGAAGAAGATAACTGGAATATGTGGTGCTGTTCAATCTTGCAACAGTCACAGAAACCATAGGTTCACCCCATAGTATATAATGGCTAATTCGAGACAGAGCTGAAAGGAGAGCCCCAGATTCTGGCACAGTGGCTTCCACAGATTTTAAAGTGTTAAAAGCCATAGACAAATCCCTTAGCTATATTTGCTACACAATGCTCACTGTTTCACATATTGAAATTTACAGAATATCACAAAATAATAGGAAGGGATATTTATTGTTTAAGTCAATCCCCAAAGAAAGTTTCTAACAGTGAAAGACATTCGAAGAGAGTCATTACTGGTAGCTCAAATCCATAATTCTAGCTAACCAAATAAACTAGAAACCACTCTATCAAAAAAAAAAAATGCCATTCAAATAATCCTTATTAATACCGACAGTTTTAAGCTTGGTATGTAATGAAAACTAAGTGAAAATGCACTTTGCCAGGTTAAAAAAAAAGTCACTATGTTTTTCAAAAGGAATTACTGAGTGTCTGTCTCTATAAGAGCTCTTCTTCCCTTAAAATGTCATTACTAGGTCCTTAAACATGGGAGAGAAAAAAAACATGACATGAGGCATTATTGTGACAGTCAAAACTGTTTAACCCTAGTCCTTAAAAATGAAAATGCTCAAGAGCAAAATTTACTTGCATTACTATGTATAGCTTCTGTGCCTGTGACTATGGAGAAATGACAGAGCGAATATTTTAAGGCTTTGAGTAATTTTCTTTTGGGTTATTAACCAAATGTGGCATGTTCAATTCACTGGTTCCTAACTTAATGTGTTAGGGTAATGAAAGTTTCGGAAGAAAATTGAAGTACTGATAAAACAAAAGGGAAATAAAGATCTAAAAAGTGCTAAACCTACCCTGAAAAGTGGGAAAAGAGCATTGCTTACTGTCAGCTCTACGGAGTGGAAGTCTCTAGAACAACCAGGTCAAGTACTATTAAGCTGTTTACATGTTGCTTGGGTTTTTAATTTGACTCAATTTCAAATCATTTACACTTAAAAACCGATTTGATTCAGTGACTGAAAATTTTTGTTATGTTTGAAAATATGTCAAGTATATGAATTTACCTTTTTAACTATAAATTTTCTGAAATCTAAATACAGATCAAGTATTTCTGATGGAAATTTATTACCTGAATTGGAATGTGCTGTAAATATAAAATGCACACCAGATTTTCAAACATTTAGTAGGAAAGCAAAGAGTAAAATATCTCTTTAATAAACACTATAACCATTGCATATTGAAATGCTAATATTTTGACATATTCGATTAAATGAAATATTAAATCAATTTTAACCGTTTCTTTTTTACTTTTTCAAATGTGGATCCTAAAAAATATAAACTTACATATGTGGTTTACATTACATTTTATCTCTGTCTGGTCAAAGCTGAGAATAAAAAGGTTTAGTTGCCTTGATTATAAGATATTAAAATTCATTCTGTGGCAGAGTGGTACCCAGTAAAGGCCTGTTGGTACCATTCTACCATATGCCAAGCTGTGCTGTTCCAGGGGAATATTCTTCACCTAATAGCGGCAATCAGCCCTATAGCAAGCATTCCTTTTTAAAGAGTGAAGTGGGAAACATATTGAATTCATACAAATGAGTATTAATAGATTACAGTCATTTGTAAACAAAGACTTTATCAAATGTGACAGATTCAGCAGCATTAATAGTAACTGTTAAAACTGCATGTCTTATGTCACGTTGCTTTAGATGTATCCAATGTCTGATAGACTTGACCAGCCAATAATTATTTATGGAGGGCGTACTTTGTTTTAGGTACTACAAGTCTACTTACAATCTTTCATTTAGCCACACAGGAAAATTACAGGATGGACAGTTCAGGAGGGTAACAAAGAGAAGTCTCAGCTAAAGAGAAACAAGGTTCATGTCCATCAGGAAAGAATAATCAGTTCTTGTCACAAATAAACTGGGTCCTGATTGCCTGCCTGTCTTTAGCAAGGTGAATTTTTATTGTGTCAATTTTCTACTTAAAATGTAGAATCACTGAAATAGACAAGGGCCTCAAAAGAAACAATATATTGTATTTTTAAAACTGCATTGAGCTGTTGCCTTTTACATTGTCTATACTGTGATGGAAGGACTGAAAAGTCCTTGTGATAATTTAACCTGTACTTACCTTCGTAGCCATCAGTATATACATAAAGTGTCAGACCAAGCAAGAGTCAGCTCAATACTTTTTTCGGTTGTGCCACTCCACATCTCACAAACACAGTCTCCAAGAGGTGTTTTCTCTCCTGTTTCCCACAAGCACTCTAGGGTCAGCAGTGTGGGTTTGCTTGGAATTCCCTGAACATACCATATTGCTTGACTCCTCTGCACTTTTGTGTCATCTGTCTGTCTTCCTGGAATGTCCTCCCCTTTTTTTCTGCCTGATGGCCTCAGATCTTTAAAAACCTTCTTTTTGAAACCTATCCTGATACCGCTTTTCCTCTCCACACTCACAGAGTTAATTAATCACTCCTTGTGTACCACCTCTGTACCTTGGACATACCTCTACTGTTGCTCTCCTGGCTGGTCCACTATCCAGCTATGCACTAGGAAGAGGAAGGAAATAAATCTTATTTCTTTTTGCCTGGAACCTAGCATAGTGCTTAGCAATTAGTAGATACTCAATTTCCTAAATGACTTTTATTGACTTGTATGTTCTCCTGAACTTCTACATTCTGATAAATCATTGAAAATATAGGAGAATAATTAAAGTTTACAACTGGGGTTTGTAAGAATAGGTAAGAGTTCACATAGTATGCAAAGTATCTTCCCAATAAATGTTTTTGACTGGGTGGCAAAGTGACTCTGTTCTGTCTTCTACAGATTATCATAGTGCCACTAATGTTACTGCTCTGTGACTTTACTGTAATTATTCATTTTTATCTATACATAGGAATTGCTGATCATCGCTATTTCAGTAAGTCTTTTAAATGAATATCTGCAAAACCCAAGATGTACTGTACTTGGTCAGGAGGAAACACTTCAAAAGAAGGTTGAAAAATTAAAAATGGAATGATGTGACAATGAAGTGCTGGAGCAATAGAGCTGGCGGGTCAACCCCAGGGAACAGTCATCAGAAATTGAGTGACTCTTCCTAAGCAAAAGCCTCAACGGACTGAGTGTCATGGTGTCACTTGGCAGTGCAAACTGGCACAGCAAAACAAAGAACAAGACACATGGAAGTTACTACTGGCAATGAGTTATGCACTGGTCTTGGGCAATGTTGGAAATGTGCAGGTGCAAATCAACCTTCATAGCATCACCTCAAAGGAACAGTGGTTGCATATGAGTTCATAAATGTATCGGTATGGATACACCCACGATATTGTACCTTCCATACTGTAGTGTTGTAATGTCATGTAGAAAGCAAAACAATCTCTTGAAAGTCTTATGGTAGCCTCCCTAAAGTAGCAGTTTCATT